GTTGTTGCACTTATGATCATAAATACATGCTAATATATTTTACTTAAAATGGGATACTCATTAAGAAATTTTGTATTTCTATTTAGTAATCTTTGAACATGAAAATATAATTTGTTGCATGAAATGTTCATTTTGATTAGTAATTTCATTCTCTAAATTATAAATGAAGGGTTAATTATATATTTTCTAATTGTCAACATTTAATTTTGTCTCTGATGTTTTCGTCATTACAAATCTATTATTTGGTTGAGTTGATATTCAGGGCTCGGTGGATTTATAAAGTGTAGTAATACTCGTACATCGACCATACTCCATATGAGTAAAAATTAAAAGTCATGAATGCATAAATAATTATTTACATTACTCGGCATTGTCACAGTGCTGTGAAGGAACTAAGCAAGAAAAAATTGAGGCCAAAAATCGACTCAGAAGATACAGTTTTTTGAATTTTCACAGGTTTTGCTAGATTGTAATAAACAGCTTCCTAAGCCATGCATGGCAAATTGTTATGTATTAAGTTCAAACCCTTCAAAAGATAAAATTTTTTATTAATTATATAATATTTGAATGATAAAAAACAAAAAAAAATCGAATGATTTTTCTCCTCTTTTCATTTGGAATGCTGCTGTCATATTTTCACAGATTGATTTTTAATAGATTTCACCGCAAAACTAACACCAGAAACCAGTCAAGAAAATTAACTAGAATTTACTCAGTGATGGTTGAACAATTTTATTTCTTCGTATAACATAGAAATGGTTCAATTCAATATACTTTTTAGGCGAAATTTATATACGTAAATTATTATCTTCTTTATACCTGTGATCTGATGCCATGAGCTGATTGTGGTTTTCTGACATGCTTGCAGAAAACCTATATATCGTTTCATTTTACTTCAGGAGGAAAAGAAATGCGAATTTCCGTGTGGTTTCAAAAAGTATCTGAATATTATGCGTACTCTTAGTAAATAAACTCTAAGCTATAAATGCCTGGAAAAAATGCCTTGGGATCTCTAAGGACGATTTAGTCGACCTAATAATACAATTAAATGTGTTATCCTCCGGTCCGTACGATCTGTTTGAGAACGGCCGAATGGGTATCACTAGAACATTTATGAGTATAGACTGGTAACTGTCTTACAGTTTATTTTCTTCACTCACTCCTTGATTGTTATTTGCTAATTTATTCTAATAAAACTTTATCAGTTCTTCATTGATAAAAACTCACGATAACGAAAAATCCTTACATTCATACCTAACTATTTGAAATTACTGTTAAAAATATTAATTAACAAATTGATGATGAAGATATATTATTAAAAATTAATACAGTCTCATAAAATCCATTAGTTTATAAATGCTTATGAATTGACTTCATTGTTTCTAAAACTGACGTAGAGGAATTTTTAATCGTGTGTCACGAAACATTTATCAAACAAATCGGAGTTACAGGAACATTACAACACGAGCTCACGAATTCAAGCTCTGAACTTAATTGCCTTCGCCAGTCACGCTGCTCTCCGGATAAATTACGAAGGCTCTCGGAGTACCAAGGTACCTCCGGTGAAAGAAGGGAATAGAAATCTTTAGAATAATTATGCTAATTTTATTTACATCATTTCAATCATTATAATTTACTGTGATAAATACAAGTATCTCTCACTATTACAAGGTATTATGCCCTAATTTGAATTTTAAATCAATTTTTTTAAAAATTTTGTGAATGTGCTGCTACTGCGAATTAAATTTATAGTACACAGGGCTGCCGCATTAATAACGTAGTTCATTAGTTATTTGACATGGGCGCCTTTCATTCTTTCAATCAGATTAAATAATGACATTGACTCGATTTTCAATTAGTGTCAGTAGTGATGGAAACATCCAAGAGAATTTAATATCAGAAACATTAAGAATTAAATCCTAGTTCACAATTCTGTAAAAAGGTGGCATTACATCAATCTTCAAAATGAAAGGTGAACAAAATATAAAGTCGGCAAGATGAAGAAATAAATAAGAATCGTGAATGAATAATGGTATTAATGTAGCATTATAACTGGCAACTGATTTATAGGCGCCTTTGTAGGGAACAAAAGCAGTCTTTCCAAACGTTGACTTCGTGCCAGCAACCCACGAAATGCTTTTGTGGTGTATGTTGCTTATGAACGATATCTCCAGTTGCGATTAATGTAATTTATTGTTTCACTGTGATATTGAAATTGATAGCTTAGTCATCACTTTATCAACAGTATTAATGTTTCAATTATTTGTCAACACCCAATAGTTTTTTGTCCAAAACTCTCCCTTTTCCGACACACCATTACAATTTTTTTCTTATGAAGTAAGGACGAGAAAATAAAAATGAGATCCTTAAGAAAGTTCATGCAAAATCTTTTGAAACAAAGAGTAGTATTTGCGAAATTTCGGCATCCAATGAATACAATTTATACAAAAAATATTTTCTCAAAAACCTCTCCAAATTTCTTCTTTGAATTTTTTCCACGCAGACGCTTAAAAGAATAGTGCAAGTCTCAATTTCGATAAATCTTCTGAATATTCGAAATTTGTGAGTTGAACTGAGAGACAGTTATATTTTTGTCGGCTCAAGTGAGTACAATAGAGGGACTACGTGTAGCGGTAAAGCTCTCGGCAAGTTAACTCGAAGGACCTGAGTTCGACATTCAGCGCGGGGAAGAACATTCTGGCTGGAAAAACGTTCGCAGGTTCATGTAGTAGTGTATAATATTGCGGAGCCATTTCAAATAATGCGAAAAGGTACGTGCTTTTGTAGACTCACTCACTTTTATATAACTCAGTGCGTTTTGGCGGTTGTGAAATTTGCGTCAATGGAACAGAAAACAATTTTGGAGAATACGCTATCGTTTTATATCAAACTACATTTACAGCAACAACAAATTGGAGATGTTACTTGTCAGCATCCCTATATATAATAAACAAATGTCAGTAACAAATTCCGTATTAGTAATTTCCAGAGGAAGGCTTAAGTGAAACCGAATTGATGCAGGTAGTTAATAAAATAATGAAAAGTAGTGTAGAAAAAACAGTTATTTTCAATGGGGTATTTAATTGTATATTTGAAGTGAAAAACTGCATTGCAAGAGTTTTCCCTTCGAAGACTATCTTTATGACCGTAACTAACGTAAGGAGAACGGAGGAATTTCTGCTAGCAAGCACATTTTGTGTATTAGGAATGCAAAAATGTGTTCTCTAGAGTGTGCAGCAGTATGCGAGAAATAAAAAACCATGCCTAGTAAAATAAGGATTACGTGGACGGGCCACGGTCACATAATGACAAATCCCATGACTTACGTGACATTTGAAATTGCAGTCCTTCTTTAGGAATGTAACATCTTGATCAGGAACCACTGTTAAACTTCACTGCACTACAACATTTATAAGATAAACAGTTTTACTGATCGAAAAATATAAATCGTTTTTAAGACCCATAAGAGAAATGTAGAGGTAGGGAAACTTCTTTTCACTTTCTCACCCTTACTCTGTAAGAAGAGAAAGATAGTAATAATGCTCCGGGAAACGGCGATTTTTCAACAGAATTTTTTTATTACAGGTCTCGGTAATGAAAAGTGGATAAATCTTGTTTCTGTGTATACGAAATTAGCTCCTCTCACACATTGTGTACTCAGAATACATGTTTTGTAGGTCCTTGATAAAAAATAGATTGACGCTAAAACGTCTGTTCGACCGTTTGTCCGCTCGTCTGTCCGTCTATCTGTGGTGAAAGCTAATGCCTGAACAGTTCAGCGAAATTTCTCCAAAATTGATATTTTCTTATCGATTTACATGAACTATAGGGCCATTTCGTTTGAAACAAATATTGGTTTTTGAGAGTACTTTACATGAAGTCTCAGTATTTTCATAATTACCTCAAAACTTGCTCCAAATTTGTTGATAAAACTTTTTCCTTGAAGAGCACAAAGGACGCGTAAAATAAAGGTGTAGATTTAATTTTCGTTGAAATCCCTGATTTATCGAAAACTGCAAAAGTTTTTTCTGTGCATTTCCACAATTACAATATTGAAGATAGAGCTTTCGTTCTTTAGTAGAATCTGTTTATTAAAGAAATATATTGAAATAAGGTCATGGAAAATTTTCCGAAAGTATCAGTAGTTTTCCCGAAATTTTGCGTGAAATATACGTAACTTTTAAATTTCTTAAACATTTTTTTCTCTGAAAACAATCCAATTTTTTTCTTTTGATTTTTACCTTGTATCTATCAAAAGATGGTAAAACAATTTGTGCTAGTTCCAACTTTCGTATTTTTGAAAATTGCAAACCTTTAACATCGCAAAACTACAAAAGTGAATAGAGGTTCTTGCCTTGGGCAAAGTCAGTTGTAAAAACTAAGCTCTTTAAAAGAGGTTATGAACAATTTTTTGCAAAAGCGAGTCATTTTCGCGTAAATTGTGCTTGAAATTAATGCTATTTATTGACATTTTGCAATCAATGCAAAAACCGCTCTAAAATTATTTTCTTTTTTGTTCCGCGGATAGAACACGGAACGCTTAAAAGAATGGCGCAGCTTTCATTTTCTTTGAACTCTCTGAATTTTTGAAAATAGCAAATTAGAAACAATGCGAGAGAATATGTGCTGTTGTAGTACCTCTAGTTTAACGACTGATTTTCACTCGAACAACAACCCTACATACAAAGATATTGATATTTAAAATCTGAACTTTGAAAATAGAAGAATTATATGTGATGTAGAGACGCACCATTTTCCAAATACTGGTGTGTGACTGTCACTATCAAAAATACTACCCTTAGGAAATGAAAACCGTGGAACTGCGAGCATATTCAGCGCAACAAGGGGAATTCTAGGGGAATTCTTCATTAACGAAACACTTGAAAATGAATAAATCATGATTTTGACAAATCTTGATTGCAAATCAAAAATCAATGTCAACGAGTATGGTGGACACATTGTGGTGATGTGAGATGTTTCACGGTTACGTGTGGTTACTTATGGGTCGCTTATTACGCGATTGGGTGGAAGATTTCTTGCGGCAGTATGCTTATTTAGCTCCGTTGTTTATTGTTTTTATTGTTATGTAAGTCCTGGAAATAATCGTGGAAATAATTTTGGGCGATGAATAAGCAATTTCATTATTCTTAACCAAGTCCGATGTATCTGCCGACTCTATTATGTTATTTATTGGCATAAAGATATTCTATGAAGGGAAAACTCTATCGATGCAGTTTCCGTTTCAAAAATACTGTTAAACACATCCAAAAAAATAAGAAAGTTTAAACAACTAATATTAAAATAACACTCTTTGTGAGACTCTCAAGTCCGTCAAACCTCAAATTGTTTACATGAATTTTGCAGTTCATTGCATATTTTTTCGAATGTAGTTATATTCCTGCCTGAGATTGGAATAGTATTCTGAGGAAACAAATCCTGCACTTTCAAGAATTTTAGTTTACAGAAAGATGTTCAAATAAACAAATATCATCCACGTAATTCCCACAAATCTCTCTTTGTTGTTCTTAAAATTCTAGCATTGCCTTAACTTTTCATTTACGAACCAGTAGTTTTTTGCCAAATCTGTCTTACTAAAGGGTGTAAACATATTTTCAAGCAAAATTCCAGATATACGAGTATTAAATAAACGTTATTTTTAACACATTGCCGGATGGATTCAAACAATTAATATCGTCATAGTTTAAAACGTCGAGTGAAACATTTTCTCCTGCATTACTATTAATATACAATTAAATACTATATTGCTCATAAAAAACTAATACAAATATTAATAGTGCCGTTAATCCATACTTATCATTTGTCGAGTATAATTATAAAAGTCGAAATATGCACGTCAAAAGTATTGTACATCAGCTTCTGAGTCTAATAAGAATAAAAATATTAAAAGTAATAAAATTCTTGGTTTACCATTGATTGTCTGACATAGTTAGGTGCCACAGAAGATTATATTCTGCATTATTCATATGCGATTATTCTATCTAACATTAATGTATTTTACATCTATGGGTGCGCGAATCTCCAAAACTATAGAATATTTTTGTAAAAATTTACATTTAAGCTACCCGTGGATCCGGGGGTGGTGGTGAGATTATAGACACTTCTGTTTGAGGGAGGAATTGAATTGTGGAAGGGACCGAGATTATTAGAAGGGTCTGTAGTGTAGTATACTCATTTTTATTTATTAATAGGAAAGTGGCGCTATTTACTTGCATGTTTACAGTTTTGCCTGCTGCTCGCGCCTAACGGTAGATAGGCGCAGACAGGTTGATATTTTGACTTTTTTTAGTCTTCTTTGTTTTGCTAGGTGGAGCGATATTTCAGTGATTATTAGGATTCCTTCTTTGTTGTGAATATTAATATAATTTAAAAGGTTTTTTTCAGTAACCAATAAGTGGTTGATGGCGGTTAATATATTTATACACAATGAAATTACGAACGTTCCTTAATGCCATTTTTCTGTGAGGTTTGGGAGAGTCGGAAGCCTTTTCTAAACATGTCTTCTCTTAAACAATTGTGTTGTCTAATCATATCATTAAATTATTAACAGTCGCATAGAAAAAGGGGGATAACAACAGACTACAGCGTAGTTTTCTTCTTTTTCTCTGTCAATGTTTAGATAAAAAGTTGTTGTTTCATCAATTAGGACTTTTGTTTTTAGAATTTTTCTTAACTCTAAGTGATAGTTTCATCTGCCAGCTCTTATCTGATTTTTACAAAAAAATTGAAAGTGTCACAAGTCGTAACAACTTGCTTACGCCGTACTCGTGCTATCAGGCCTGGGTAAAAACACGTTAAAATTTTATTTTAATACTTGTTATTGTAGAAAACAATTGTGCATTCAGAACAATGTAATGAATGTTGAACTATTTCTTTCGCAGTCAATTTACATCTCGTCGACCAAAATTTATCTTCTAGATGCATGAAGTAATCTGACATGAATAATATTATTGTGATTATCTAAAACAAATTAATGGGAAGAAACGCTCTACAGTCTGCAGGGGGAATAATATGACAGTAATTAAACCTATTATGTGTGTTCAAAAGTGCTTAAAGGTTTGTCTCAGTCATCTGGGCACGTAATTCCGGTTTGATACATGATTTATGTTGTATTGTATGCCAGCTAAGTATACAGATAATTTATGTTTATCTGTCATGTTTTATTGTGAACAGGCTTGCAACATCCGCATTGTTCAGTCCATGCTATTTTCCGTGACTGTGCATTACATTTTTAATTAGCCATCACTTGAAAATTATTCCCTAATTATCACCATAGGTTAGCTTGTCTCAACTTTCTCTGCCTTCTTGTAATATCTTCAGATTTTGGGACACTCCACCTACAAGACACATCACAATGTCATACATTGTAATCGGACTACTTCTATCACCGCTATATCAGAACTCCGTGTATTACAATATACCCACCCTGTTATTTTCTCTTCACAATTCAACGAAGTCACTTTCTCCGTTCCCCTCGGCCTGTTAGTCTTTGACCCTGTCCCTCTCTGTTTCGAAGAAACGCGCTTGAATCTTGTTTATTTGTCTAATGATCTGATAAAATTGTTTGGATTCTCCTTAATATTTCAGGTGCAAAAGAATTATAACACGCAGTGAGCCAGCGTTCATTGTTTCTATCCCAGGCAATATTTATGGCATGGCGAAATTTTTGGAAAGTTACATCCATTTAAAATGCAGTAAAGTATTTCCACCGGCATCATTGTTTTCTAATAGAAATTTTAAGAGAATTTCATATTTAAAATATTTAATTTAATATTTAATTTCTCCAATTATTTTTTATTCATTTTGATAATTTAAAATTAAGTTTAATTAGTGATGGATAGTTTAGAAATTCATTTAGAATTTGTATTGTTTTCTTGCTCATGTTTTAGATAAATAATTTTTTAAATTAAATTGAATGAAAAGTTGAACTGTTGTATTATTCTGATTTATCCTGTAGCACTCATGAAAATCTAATTTTAGATTTTAAAAATTTCTAGTTCCTCTGGGATTGAGAGCACAGTGCTGTCTTGTTTGTCTTTGAACAATTAATGGTTTCCTTCTTTCAACCACATGTACTGTTTAGATATTCTTGTGTAATAACTATTTATTTGAACAGCTCATGTTTTAATACGAGTTTGGGAGCTTAAACGCCATTCACCCACCCAGTTTGACCATTCTAAAGTCTCCTATGCTTGTCTATTTCCCGCCATCCTTCACCGTCGCACCTTTCCTTTGGACAGTGAGGACCGGGAGGTCCTACGTTTGAATTCCGGTGATGGCAGGATTTTAGACTAGCTTGACAGCTAGGTCGAATTCATCCGCTATCTGGAGGAGAATTCTAGAGGCAGGCTGCTGTGATCGGTAGTTTTCCGTAGTTTCTCCGATCAAAATCAGGCGAATGCTGAAGCAGTGCCCTAACAATCGGGCGACAGACTGCTCGCGATCATTCCTACCCATTTCTTGTCCTATCCTACCCCTTACATACATTTACATGCACTAAACTACCACACGTGCCGAGAGACCGGTCTGGAGCTTAGAGCCTTTCCGGCTGGAGCGGTGCTCCACTGGCAGAAGGTATTGCGTTGAGGAAAATTCTCAATCCGACGTGTAGGTCGGCGCCAATTGTCGCCATCCAGTGGGAGATCACCGTCACCTGCCCCGATAAAAACACGCACTACACTTACGGGACCAACAATCTTAGCAGTTGACGCACCTGAAATCAGCAATAAATAAAAAAAACAAGTTTGAGAGTTTAAACACCATTCACCCACCCAGGTGGACCATTCTGAAGTCTCCCACGCTTGCCTATTTCCCGCCTCCCCCCGCCCTCGCCCCGTCCTTTGGAGAGTGGGTCGCCGCAATGGCGGCCCAGTTGCTCCATCGGCAGAGCGGGTCGCGCCCGCGCCCGGATTCCGCCGTCTGACCAAATTCCCCGGCGTGGGTTGCGTTGCGCAGCGTACGCGTGGGCGGCGGCGCTGCTGCTGCTGTGCGCGCTGCAGCTGGGCGGCCCGGGCGCGGGCGTGGGCGTGGGCGTGGGCGTGGACGCGCAGCTGCACCTGCAGCAGCTGCTGCACCCGCACCCGCACCAGCTACTGCACCCGCTGCCGGCGCCGCGCGACCCCTACCACTGGCTGCACGTGCCGCGCCACCCGCCGCTGCACCCGACGCTGCCGGCCGTCGCGCCCTCCCCGCACGCCACGGGCTTCTCGTGCGCGGGCCGCGCCGCCGGCCTGCACCCCGACCTCGCCGCCAGCT